TGTTAATAAAGCATATGATATATTTGTACAATCATTCATAGGTATATGTGATCAATATGCTCCGATTGTTCATCGTCACTCTTCCAGGAGGAAAAATGATAAACCATGGCTGACTAGAGCTATTAAGAAGTCAATTAAAAAGAAACATAAATTGTATGGTAAAGTATTAAAATCAAATTATAGTGAAGATAATTTGAAAAAATATAGGACATATAGAAATGTTTTAACTACAGTTTTGAGGAATACGAAGAGGAAATATTACAGTGATGTATTTGAAATGTATAAAGGTGATACGGCGCAAACATGGAAGTCAATAAATAAGCTATTGAAGAGTGGAAACAGTAAAGTAAAAACGTCACATGTAGATAAGCTCTGTGTTGATGAAAATGGTAGTAAGAAAGTTGTAACTTCAGGGAAAGAAATATCAGAAGGCTTTAATGATTTTTTTTGTGAACGTTGGGCCTAACCTTGCTAAATCTATTAAAGGTAATGTTGACGATGTTATTACATTCAAAGGTTATCTTAGTGATGGAATAATTGACTCTATGTTTTGGGAACCAGTTACTCATTATGAGGTACAGGACTATTTATTAACTTTAAATGTAAAGAAAGCTTGCGGCTTTGATGATATTCCAGCCCGATTACTGAAGGATGCTGCTGAAGTAATTGCAAAACCATTATCTTATATTTATAATCAGTCATTATTGAACGGTGTGTTCCCAGAGGCAATGAAAGTAGCCAAAGTTACACCAATTTTTAAAAAAGGGGATAAAAATGTCCCAGGCAATTATAGACCTATTTCAGTTTTGCCTCTTTTGGCCAAAATATTTGAGAAATTAGTAAACAAGAGGCTACTTGATTATTTTGAAAGAAATGATGTCTTGTATAAGCACCAGTATGGCTTTCGTAAACATTATAGTACTAAGTTGTCTTTAATTAATTTGGTTAATGATGTGCTTAAATCACTGGATAAGGGCAGTGTAACACTAGGTGTATTCCTAGATTTCCAGAAAGCTTTTGATACAATTGATCACGCAATATTGGCTGGAAAATTAGAACATTATGGAATAAGGGGCCTGCCTCTCCAGTGGTTTAAAGATTATCTTTGTAATAGATTTCAGTTTGTGAACTTTGATGGACATAGCTCATTGAAGCTGATAATAACATGTGGTGTACCTCAGGGTTCTGTGTTGGGACCTACCCTGTTTTTGTTGTACATAAACGATTTGCCAAACTCAACAAATTATTTTAATTTTAGACTTTTTGCCGATGATTCTAACTTATTTCATACGTTTCCACCGAGACAGAATTCAATTGATATGGATAATATAGTTAATATGCATCTTGATAAGGTGACCATATGGTGTAAGGTGAATAAACTTACAGTCAATCTCTTAAAGACTAATTATTTGTTAATAAGAGGGAGTAGGCAATCAGTAGTAACTCAAGGGGTGCTAAAAATAGCAGAGACTGAAATAGCCCAGGTTGATGTTGCATCATTTGTAGGAATTTATATAGATCAACACTTGACGTGGAAACCTCATATCCAAAGGGTTAATAAGTTTATTAGGAAAAGGGTTGGTGTTTTATATAGATTAAGACAGTTTGTGCCAAGGCGTGTTTTGTTGTTACTGTATAAGACGTTAATTCAACCGCATATGACCTACGGAATTGAGGTTTGGGGAAGTAATTATGAAATGAACATGAAGTGTTTATTATTAAGCCAAAAGATGGCACTAAGAGTTATAACGTTTAGTCCAATTAGGACTCATTCACAACCGATATTCCAGGAGCTAAAATTATTGAATGTGTATCAACTCCATAAATTATCTATTTGTGTTTTTATGTATCAATTATTGAATGATAAATTGCCACAGTCTCTAATTCAGTATTGCTGTTTCATAGAGCACAACTATGAGACTAGACAAAGAGAAAGTAAGAAGTTAAGTGTGCCTAAAGTAAGGACAACGCAAGGTAAATTCTCAATGTCATACAGAGGCACACGCTTTTGGAATGATCTACCCCTTTCTGTACGGGAGAAAGCATCAGTATCTTGCTTTCGTAGAACTCTTATATCACAAATGTTAATAGAATAGTTGTTTATAACTTAGAACCAAGGCTCTTGCCTTTTTGTAAATATTATGTTATATAATTCTTCATCTTTTATTTAGTGTAAAATACCAAAGCTTTGTATATAAGCACAGAACATATTTACCCTAGATGTAGAATAATTTGTAGCTTAGGTATGAATTCAATAGTTATTCATATTTATTCATTACATTCTCATTTATTGCTGTGATACTTTTTGTGTTAGTGGTACTAGACACGATTATCATTAAATGCTATTTTCTGGTCCCATTTATCCTTTCAATGTTAATTAATCATTCACATTTGATTGTTATATATTGATGTACTTTTTGTTTTGGATAATAAACTTCAAACTCAAACTCAAACTCAAACTCAATTAACCCATGCCCTGTATACTTTATTTTGCATAGATTAGTGGACTAATTGGAGTATCTCTTAATTTGCAGGAGATGGCACATACATCATCAAGATCATCGTGCCACAAAACGGATAGCTTGAAAGGAACAGTTGATGTGATGTTATCACAGCAGCCGTACCTGACCGAGTTACTGCTTTTTAAAGCGGGGGATGTGGAGCTCAATCCGGGTCCTCTTCATGGGTACTACAATTTAAGTTATTAAAATGAGAGAAGACATAAAACAGGCAATAACAAATCTATCAACACTTAAATGTCTGGAGTGGTATGTAGAGAGCCAATTTCTTGCTTTGTGACCACCTAAAATGTAACGAAATTGTAATAATATAGTTGGGAGAATTAAGGAATCGATCAGATCAGCTTTTCCAAATGTGTATCATTAATAATGGCCTGTTTTCACTTATATTGTAAGATTATCTTTACTTGTACATCTAGCATTGAAGTCACTACCTTAGCACCACTTTCTCTCATCTTAACGATGTTACAAAGCTAAATGAATTAGCACAGACGACATGCACCATGTAAACCCATGCATACACACGCTCAACTCGTACATTCGCAACCATATTATGTAATATATATAAATGCCTGTGCATGGGATGTGCATGCGAGGCTTCTGCATTTCAAAACATTTTGTTTTCTTTTCTTGTGTTGTTTGTTTACTTCTCTTTTTATTTAAACAAACAAATTAAATTATTCTTTTTTTTTGTACATGATGGAATTTTTAAAAGTAATTGTTACTTCTTTAGGATATCGGAGTCATGTTGTACATTTATTTATTGTTTGTTCAAACCAATTATCAACCATGTCCTGGACATGTCAACATGAAATATTTTGTTACTTTATGTTTGGAAATGAAAAAAAATGAAATAAAAATGAATTTGTTTCCCCTTTTCATGAGTAAAAATAATGAAAGTATTTATTTTCTTGAATACATGGATTTTAATCTACTGTTCTCTTCTTTTTGTATTCTTTTAGATCGATAGATAGTGTACTGCAGGAGAGTGAACTGATCTTGCTCGCTAAAGAAGTTCCAGGCAACTGCTATGAATACATGTGCATTGGTCTTGGTTTCAGCTTAGCTCAGAGCCGGAATGTACTGACCCAACATCATTTGAACATCCCAGGAGCCCTGATCGAGTTATTCTGCGAATGGAAAGTCAAGCAGAGAGGTGGCACTGATTGCAGAGCGCTTCTCGGAGAAATTCTTAAAAATGCTGATATGGGTGCACTTCAGACAAAATTATTGGAAGGTAACTTTTCCATTGTACTTGTATTTTGTCTTTTCTGTTACATGAATTTCGTCATTTCATGCGTAATCACAGAGGTACATGATAATGATAAACATTGTGATACACATATACAACGGACAGTGAGAAATAGATACGAAAGCGTGAATGATTTTATCCGCATTAAAAACACAGTTAAAATTTATCAAATATTATAACTTAAAAAGGAGAAGTATTATCAGCCAAGAAAAATGTATGGCTTAGGCTTGCAAATCTTATCCACTTTAATCTACTTTAATTCATTTACAATGTTACAAGATATGGACAAAAAGAGAAAGGTGCGGAAGTATACTCCAGCTTTGCTTATTATTTACACAGAAATTCACTGTTTTGTATGTGGACATTTTTACAACATTTATTAACAAAATGTTAACTGTTCTTTTATGTACTTTTATTTATGTTCTTAAGGTGAATATCTTACATCTGGAACCTCACAGTCTGGTAAGTGTACTTTACACATTTTACACAAAAGACCATTCGTTCATCAGGGGACTTTAGTGTCTTATTTTTAACAACTCCAACAATTGAAATAATTGCAGCTATACTGCATTTTCAAAGTAGTTCCAGATCAATGTAGGTTTGGTTTAGATAAATATTATATATTTCAATGTGAAAATTAATTAAGATTAGATACTCTGTTCTCTCATTATCTGCTCATATTAAGAATAAAATTAGGTTAGGGTGGACTTTCTTTTTAAAGCGAGCTCTTTGACATAATACTATTATGAGCATTGATCAATGTTATAATATTAATTATATTAATGGTGGCTTCTTATGGCGCACATGTCCGTCACGTTGTGACGCTCCTGTCGCTGCCCCGATTATTACCCCGGCTTTAGCAAAGCAGCCACTGCGGCGCTCTAGCATTTCAAGGAATTAATTCCTGCCAGGTACACATTTACATCATGTAAATCATCTATTCATAATATATCTATAATATACCGTCGAAGGCTGATAGTAATTGCATGATCGACCCATATCATTTCATTTGTAATGGGTTGTGTCGCAGGATGTGTAGCAACCCTGTAGATATTTGATTTGTCCCTATATTCACCACCAAAAGGTGTCATTTGCCTTTCTGGACGCGTTAGGCATTTAATATCTGTGTCCTTATTTGTAACATCTATTGAAATAGATATTTCGTTGAAATAACATGAATTGTTTTTAATCTCCGTACAGATCCTATACTAGATACTTCCCTACCAAACATGACTGAGGCACAGGTTCTCCAGTGTGGGGAAGACTTGAAGACATTCTATCGCGGACAAATGTGCAAAATCAAACCTAACCCGCTTGATTTCAATATCATCCTTGAATTCGAGCAAATTTACACAAACTTAACCCTGCTCAGGAGCGAAAAGGGAACAAGGAGAACCAAAATGCCACTGGATTACACTGATCTTCTTACTACACAGATTAATGGGGAAATTCCTAAGCGTCTTCTGGTTGAAGGTGAAGGGGGTGTAGGTAAAACGACCTTCTGTTCGAAGATCGCATGGGATTGGGTCAATGGATCTCCAGAGTTTCAGAACTTCAGTTGGGTTCTGGTTATACCCCTGCGCAATGTTGTAAAGGGTCAGACAATTGGTGATATTATGTTAAACTATCTCTCTGATAGTAATGCTGTAAGCCCTAGACAGATCGATAATTACATATTGTCTCAACCTACAAAGGTTCTGATTGTACTTGATGGACTAGATGAGTATGATGGGGACCTCTCTACCACAGCAAGCTCAGATATTTCTCAGATTCTACGATCGGAGAAATTCAAGGAATGCATTGTTCTGGTGACAACAAGACCATGGAGGGCGGAACAGATCAAATCCAACGAAGGATTGAGTAGGTTGTATGCATTCATTGCAGTAGAAGGATTTAGTGCTGATAATGTCTCAAAATACATCAAGAGGTACTTCATAAATGATGAAAAGGCGGGATCAGAACTCAGTCGGTTTATTGAAGTGAATGATGTAATCAAGGAGAATATGTCACCCTTCCCAATTTTCGTAGCAATGCTATGTATCTTATGGGAACATTGTGACAGAGAGAAAAGAGAAACAATACGAAGACTGAAGACATTTTCTCAATTATTTGAACAAATGATCATGTATCTAAGAGACCATTATGTGTCAAAGGTTGTCAAAGTGTTACGTAAAGCACATCTGGACAAGGAAATGGAAAGTATCAAGCTTTGTTTGCAAAGCATAGGATCGATTGCATTCTCAGGACTACTGAACAAGAAATTAGTTTTTAATGAGGAGGACTTCAGCTCGTGCAAGGATGCCATGGAGACATGTTGCAGAATCGGAGTTCTGAGTCAGGAAAATCGAAATGTTTCCGGATGGAAAAGAACCTTAACTGCTCCACAGTCTGTAATCACTAGTGTCTTCTTCCCTCACAAATTATTTCAAGAATATATTGCATCTGTTTATCTTGCCTCTCTATATGACACGAATCGCGAAGAGTACAGTAGGTCGATGGGTGAGGTACTGATGAGCAAGAACCCACAAGAATTCCGTTACCTCTTGTATTTCACTGCTGCCCTTGGAAGGGAGGTGGGACTTGATATTGTCAAGAAAATACAACAAAAGGACTTCCCAAATGTACGACAGAGAACGAGAAACAATGATTTTCTAGCAGATATCACTTTTGAAGCGTATGATAAGGATACAGCGAAAGCAGTAGGACAACATATATTTGCAGACGAGAAAAAGTTGACCTTCGATAAAGACAAGCCTGCTCACACAGTGTCAGGTTACCTCTTCGTCATGGAACAGCATGGAATGGTTTGTTATAACAGGCCTGTAATTAGGATTTTTTTTTTTGGGGGGGGGGGGGGGGGGAGGGGTGGTGCAGACATAATATGAAGTGGACTCTTTCGTGGGCAGGATGAGGGCCTGTGAAGTTGATCCCCCCTCCCCCCCCCCCCCCCCCCCCCCCCCCCTCTTTAGGTAGGGAAAAATTTGCATTTTTCTGTCCTACCTGCAGATGTTGTTTGCATTGCAGGATTGTTTCGTTTACCGATATCAGATTGAGAATCATCCTCCTTGTTACACGCATGCATTGTACAAAACAGAACATTATAGAAACATTACATTAACCTGATTGACCTACTATGCATACTGCCAGTTGAACGTCAGGAAATTATAAATATAGCCTGAGAAAGAATTATATTTATACTGAAACTAGAAAACAAGTTCTGATAATTCGAATAATGGTTTTATGTATATATATTAGATAGCTTAGACAGATACCGAGATGTGATTGGTCCAGAGCTCGTCACGTGATATCAATTGCGAGGATCCAAATTGTTATATTTTTCTGGCCGGTCACTTTTCGGTGTTATATTTTACCGGCTGGTGAAATGAATATATTTTTAATCAATGCATGTCGCCCTCTTGAGGACTGTATGTCACCAATTACACACATTACACCATAACCGAGGGTCATTTTATTTTTTCAATATTGGTTCACTAATTTTTTTTTTCCCTTGAAATTATTTTTTCCACATGTTTTTTTTTTCTTCCCAAAAATGCTTTTTGGGGTAATTTTTTTTTTCTTTCCCGAAAAATGCTTTGTAGGGTAAGAATTTTTGTTTTTCGATTTTTTTGTTTGTTTTTTTGTTTTTTGTTTTTTTTTTCCCCAAATTTTTTTTTGATTTTTTTTTTTTCTTTCTTGAACTATCTCGACAGATTATTTTTACGTAATTTTGATTGTCCCCGAAAAAAAAAATAATTAAAATTTCGGGCAAACAAAAATATGGACCCCCCCCCCCCAACAAAAAAAACAAAAACAAAGGCTATCTAATATAACAGTTATTGACTGGCAGGGGGTATATAACATTCTTTGGACCTGAAGGGAGTTATATTTTCCCTCGTGACCATATTTTCCCTCAGCGCTGTGCGCTTCAGGAAAATATAACCACTTGGGAAATATAACTCCCTTCAGCGGTCCAAATAATGTTTTATATACCTCACTTAAGAAATCCAGCCATCTGATTGGTCGAATTGCATTCATAAACTTCAACTGTTCCTGTAAAATTCCCGGTAACCATGCATAAAACATTTCAATATTTTTAATAACCATGGTTATTAAAAAAATAGGTCAGTCTCCATGGTTACCCCATAGGTTTACATGTTAAAAAATGGTTTGAGCGATGGAGGATACCATACGTGTGCGAAAAATTGGTCGGCAATTTCAATACAATTGAATCTCGATCGATCTTACCGACAATTTTATCTTGCATTGTTGACATGAAGACGAAAATTAACTCTCAAAAACAAAAAAACAACATCTGCCGATAGATCTTGATCTAAGTTCGTGCCAATATGCATTGCAAAAGTAAAAGAAAGGTCCGTTTCATGGAGCTTTTGCGAAGCATCCCTCACGCGGAGCCGTTTTCAATCCATTTTAATGTATATATTGGAGAAAACTGCCCAGCATGTTAACGTCGCGCGATAGCCGAGTGGTCTAAGCGTTGGTTTTCGATACACCTCTTGTTTTACGCAAGAGTTCGAATCCCGTCTTCGACAAAAATGTAAATTATTTTTTATTTTTTATTTTTTAGTCTATTTTTTTCGGCATATAAAAGTATTAATGACTGCTTTAATATTCGAGAAATAGTTGTTTTCATACGCTCTCGGGAAGGTTACAATTGGGCTATTCCCCTCGGCAAGCCTCGGGGAATAGCACAATTCTAACCTTCCCTTGAGCGTAATAAAACAACTATTTCTCTCAAAGCAGTCATTAATACTATAATATTACACCCCCTGCCAGTCAATAACTGTATAATATATACCGAGGCCTGTATAACACGTCAGGATCATTATAGCAAAAAGAATTGTATAGTAACGTGTATATGTCTATTTCAGGAAACTTTGGTGTTCAGAGACAGATCATGTGGCCCGACTGTATCACGTGACCTAGCAGACGTCCTATTCGCATCGAACTCATTATCAAGATTAAAGTTTTATCGTACAACATTGGATGATGACTTCTATCAGTTAATGCGTACACATTTGTCTACAATGGCGGTAAATATATAAATATTTAAACAGAATACTTATGATTACAATTAGTTTTTATCAGAAGAATTTATGTCATTATGTTATACACAAACCACTCCTTTGGTCAATCGATGCCTATATTTTAGTGGAAAATTGCATATGTTCAGAGAGGCGAAGAAAGTAACCAAAGTGTTTAAGATGCCTTGGATTAAATCTAAAAGTACCTTTGTGAAGACTAACTGATCAGAGAAACAGTGATGATCGGACAAATAATTTTCAAATTGGTGAGAATTAATATGCAGGTCGATAAATAATAATTAAAAGTAATGATAACATTATAATAATGATAATATAATATGAGATTTGGAATGTCGCAAACCCTCTTCAAATCAAATTCACAATTCGCAATTTTGAAAAAAAGTAATCACATACAAGCATCTGCATTATAAATAAAGCAACAGCAGTAAGATAGAAAATACAAACATTTTAGAACAAATGATCATATACTTTGTTAAAAAAGTTACCCCAAGTGTCCGGTCCTACTTATAAGTAATTCGTTTTTTGTAAATAAAGAATTTAATGAAAACGTATCACCGTAAAGCAGGTTGGCAACTAGAGGTGGGAGGGGGGGGGGGGCCTTTACGGGTATTTTTTACTTGAGCAGTCATGGAAACAATAGTTCTTGACGGATAGCACAACTGCAATGGGCCATGAGATATCTGCATTTGAGGACAAATATGTCTGCTCCATCAAGAAACAGTTGTATTTAAAATTCTTTTTCTTTTTTCATTAGAATGGGAACATCTGTCTGTTTGACATTGGTAAATATGACTAAACTGCCATTCGTTTTCATACTAACAATTTTTTCCCAATGTGAAAGTTACATACAAATCATAAATAGAGTCTGATATTATTTGAAAATAGACTTATTGATAATACTCTACTTTGTCATTTTGCATACAGGGAGATAAATCCTCAATAAATGAGCTGGTTGTAGATCATCAATTCCTAAATGGTCTATGGAGGGTTAATAACGGTGACGTTAATGTGACTATTGGGGACCTATTCCCAAGCTTGACACAATTGATTTTTTCCACTCTTCACACTGTCTCACCGGGAGATGTTGAACGGTTGGCACATTCCACCCTAGCAGTGCTGTCTATTAAGCGGGGGAGGATAGGGAAAAATCTAGTTCCTCTCATTGGGGAACCTACTTCACTGGGGCAACTTTTCTCCAGTTCATTCCCACAACTCACCTGTCTGACCTTCCGAGGGCTAGTAATGTATGGGCGGCCAAACGGGCCAATATCAACAGTCACAAAAACAAACAAAGATGCATACAAACAAACAAAGAAGCATACAAACAAACAAAGGACAGAGCAAAATAGACAAAGTACCCAGAAGAAAGGACCAATTAACAAAGAATAAATCAAAGGTCAGAGCAAAATAGACAAAGTACAGGTCAGAAGAAACAGAGGGCGTTTTGGTTTACGGTAAGCAAATAGACATCAAGCACGAAAACGAGAAAGGACAAACTCAAAAGGACATCAGCTCAGCTACGAAGTGACCCTCAAAGGACAACAGAGGGCGTTTTGGTTTACGGTAAGCAAATAGACATCAAGCACGAAAACGAGAAAGGACAAACTCAAAAGGACATCAGCTCAGCTACGAAGTGACCCTCAAAGGACAACAGAGGGCGTTTTGGTTTACGGTAAGCAAATAGACATCAAGCACGAAAACGAGAAAGGACAAACTCAAAAGGACATCAGCTCAGCTACGAAGTGACCCTCAAAGGACAACAGAGGGCGTCCTCGAGGTTTTTTTCTTTTTAATCTAGGGCCTACTCCAATATAATACGCTGTAGGTCAATACAACAAATATGGGCTTTCATCGAAAGGGTGCGGTGCGGTGCGGTGTGGTGTGCTCAACGCACCCATTCGATAAAAGAGGGGGGCCTTTTCTCGAAAGGGTGCGTTGAGAGCGGAGTACCATTTTAACACACCCTTTCGATGAAAGCGGGGGGGGGGGGGGCTTTTCTCGAAAGGGTGCGTCGACTAGTCTTTCGCATCAGTCGTTTAAAATGAGGATCTCGGACAGAAGGTAATAGTTGCCAATTTAAGTATATCGAAAATGTATTAAATGAAATGGAATGGTCTTGATTACAGAGTGGTCTCTTTGATGGGGGAGACAGAGAGAAGGAAAAAAGGGAAAGGGAAGATAAAAGGAAAGAAAGAAGAATAAGAAGAGAAGAGGGAATAAGGTGGGGGCGAAGGACTCTTGCCCCCCCCCCCCCCGCCAAAAAATAAATCAGAGAGAGAGAGAAAGAGAAGGGAAAGGGAAAGAAGATAAAAGGAAAGAAAGAAGAGGAAAAAGAATAAGAAAAGAGGGAAACAGGGGCGAAGTGCTCTTGCCTCCTCCCTCCCCCCCCCCCGCCAAAAAATAGATAAGAGAGAGAGAAGGGAGAGGGAAAGAAAATATAAGAGGAAAGTAAGAAGAGGAATAAGAAGGAAAGAGGGAAACGGGGGAAGGGCGAAGGGCTCTTGCCCCCCCCCCCCTGCCA